TTGCTTCCGATGCAGCCTAAGCACCTCTGACCGCATATTAGCCCAGTGCCAGATTGTTCGGCAATCGCTGGAGTCTGCCCATCCGGTGTGCATGTGTTTTGTTGACTTGAAATAAGCCCATGACCGGATCCCACGCAACAGTCTGTGGACATGCCTTCGTGCATACGAATAGATGGCCAGTTGCCAAAGGCCATCCAGTCACTGTATTCTGATAGCAGGTGCTGCTTCAGAGTCAATGGCGTTAAGTCGAAACCATTCAACGTTGGCACTGGCCTCTGCCAAGGCTGCGTCCTGTCCCCTATCCTGTTTGTGTAGTAAATGGACAGAATAGTCAGGAGCTGCCAAGGCGATGAGGATATCGGCATAGGAAATGTGAAGTCGAGTGGGATGCTTTTTGCAGGCGACCTTGTATTATTAGCATCTTCTGAAACTGATCTCCGGTGCTCCTTAGAAAGGTTCCCAGCTTAGTGAGATATGGTGTACAACCGCTGCATCGTCAGACTGAGAAGTCACAGCTGCGATGGTTTGCGCATGTGTTGCGAGTGCCTCCAGAAAGGAAGGCGAAGCAGTTCTGTTTTTGCCCATACGACCGGCAGGAGGTCTAGGGAACGGCCAAAATGAACCTGGTGCAAATATATGGAAGGAGTCTGCTCCAGACCTCTCGTTGTCTTCTTCGGGTCTCGAACATTGTAGGTACTGTCAGTCGCGTCTGCGTCCACTATGGAAAGGAGATGCGGTTATGGAAGATGAAGATAATCGATATGGTAGCCCAATTGTCTGTAATTTTATGTTCCTTCAGACTGCTTGAAAGCAAGCACTATAAGATTTTGTTCAATGATTTCAATGGTAATCTAACGAGTTCCACAGTAATGCCGTCTTCACAAAGAGCCGTTCCCGTCTTCGCCTGTTTTATGAAATTTCGCACTTCTTCCTAGAGCAAATCTTGAATTTTGTCTCAATCATTTGACCATCACGTCTGGTGTTGCTGTTTTCGTCCTTGTTCATTTTTCTAGAAAAATCTTTCACTCTCAGAATTTTTTATCCGTTAGTGACGACAATCGCAGCTGCTACTTTAAAAGCAGAAGTTCGTCTTTCCTCAACATTCAAGCAATGATTCTCTTTGTTCCTTCAGCTGTCTTAAATAGGTTGCCTTCCCAATTTGCAGTCCAATCGTGGCCTGTCTTTTGTAACTCACCTTCTAAACGTTCTGTAAAGCTGCTCTCATTCAATCTGTGATTTCTGATTTGCCACCGTCCTCATCATTTCATGAGTTCTATGGGGTTTTTTTGTGATTTTGGCTCTACCTTCATAATTATTTTTCCACGGATACTTTTGCCTCGTTTCTGACATCTTCTTCATTAGCAAAGCTAGAAAGCAGTTATGCAGAAGCATAATCATGTTCCAGAAGGCTTTTGCTCCGGAATCCAAAGCGAAAAGGCCAAGGCGATGTTGAACGGTCGACGTTTTATATTGGACACGAGTAAATATCATCGGCGTCAAAAAACTCTACATGGCCGGAAGGTGTGGAGGAGGACAATCATCGTGCGGCTTGTTGTTTGAAGAGAGGATAATAATCGATTTATTGATTATAAGTTTGCAATCGCAAATATGTCATTATGCAGCAAAAATAAAGTACAGAAAACTTTCTGTTATTGCAGCTGACGTTCCGCATTAATTAATGGAAACTTTCTTACGATTGCCAGTGAAACAGGTATTGATTTCCACTTTTCTCCATGCACTTCCCGCGCATGTCAAATCCGCTATCGTAAATCCTGATGGGCGCTTGTTCGTTTTGATACCAATGGCCAAACCAGTGCGGCGGAAATTTGCACTGACTCGCT